GCCGCCCCCTGCCGCCCCCCCCAACCCCCCCGCGCCTTTTAATTGAATCCTCACTTTTACCATGAGATGCGGGAAGCCAATTTGCTGGTGATGCTGGGGATGTTGGCTGGACATGCGGGGGATGTTGACAACGATGCTGATGATGTTGACGGACGCGAAAAATACGCACATTTCGCGAGAAAATGCTGTAAATTACAGCATTTTTTAGTAGCCAGGACGGAAAACAAAAAAATCCTAAAATAAAACAAAAAAATCCAAAATTAAATCTCGACCCCTTGTCAAATGATTGAGCGAGAACAGGTTACAGGCTTCATCCCAAGGTTTGCGGTGGTGCAATAATAAGACTCTTCAGAGAACGATACAAACTCCCTTCTCCCTTTCGCCAGCTTTTTATGGTGGGAATTATATACACACAAATGATGGCTTAAGTATGTGAAACCAGTCACCCCAAATGCCCCAAACGGATCTCCATCGGGTTTGGGTCCCTCGCCTTGAGAGAAACTCTCTCCAGGCTTCTCGGTGCCTGTGCTCACCGGGGTCATGGCTTGGACTGGACTAGTGGTAGGCGCGGCCGGGTTGAACAAGACTCGCCCCTGGGACCCGCCCCTGGGACCCACCGGACAACGACCCTATTTATCTTCGAAGTCTTCGAAGCGGGCATGTTTCGCAAAGGGAAAAAGTCGTCTAAGCCCTCTTAGCTTCCAGGATTCGATGCAAAACCAACAGGAGAGTTTGAACAAAGCAATGGCTCTAAGACGTTGAGCCCACGTCCGCGGCAAAAGAGCAGCTGAGCATTCTGAGTCGGTGAGTTTGACATGCACGCGGGGGGCCGCAAAATGGCGATGAGTCGGTCTCCACTTACCACGAAGCAATAAGTTGTAATAAGGGACAAGTTGTAATAAGGGACAAGTCTACGTCTTTACCTTCGGACTGCAGGTCTCATTATGTGGGCAGATGTCAGATTGAATGATCCTTTGTGTTTTGTCACAGCGGAAACATGTTGACTCTGACGGGATGCGACAATTGACAATGAGCTACAGCTCCTTTGGCAATGCCCTTGTGTTGTACTACCTGTAACTTAGACAATGTTGTTTGAAATATTGTATTCTTCTCTTCGGAGATTGTGACAAATGGAGCCCTTACGTGCAGAAAATGAGAAGGCTGTCGGCCACGTCCTTTTGTTCTTTGGGAACCCCCAAAAGCGGTAATTCCTGTCGGTTTCCCTTCCACCCAGCTTGACTCAGGGTACCCTCAAAAAGACAATTTACACACAGACGCACAGACACGTGCGATGTTTGTTCGTTCCTCCAAGGTTCCTCAGCCGGGGTGGGCGCTGGTCTGGTGGGCGCTTGCCCCAGCGCCAGCCCTTGGCTGATTGCCAGATCCCAGCCAAACATCACTGGGAACGAGTGCGCATGCGTGTGCGCATGCGTGTGCGATTGCTTGCTTGCGTGTGTCTGTGTGTGTGTGTGTGCGTGTGTCTGTGTGTGTGTGTGTGTCTGTGTGTGTGTGTCTGCGTGTGTCTGTGTGTCTGTGTATCTGTGTGTCTGTGTGTCTGTGCGTCTGTGTCTGTGTGTCCGTGTCTCTGTGTGTCTGTGTCTGTGTTTGTATCTGTGTGTCTGTGTGTCTGTCTTTGTATCTGGGTCTGCGTGTCTGTGGTTGTATCTGTGTGTCTGTGTGTGTGTATGTCTGTGTGTCTGTGTGTCTGTGTGTCTGTGTGTCTGTGTCTGTACCTGTGTGTCCTTGTGTGTCAGTTTGTGTTTGTGGGTGCGTGTGGCTGTGTTTGTGGGTGCGTGTGGCTGTGTTTGGGTGTGCATATGTGTTTGCTTTATATGCGTGTGCGTGTGTGTGTGCGCGTGTTGTGGCAAGTGTCCTGCAGTGCAATAGTAATGGTATGTCATAGTTGGTCATTGAGAGTTATCTTATTGAGGTCCCTTTAGCAACAGGGACATGAACACACGTCGATCATGATTGAAGATGGCATCTCCCTTTTGGACTCTTGCATCTCAGGGCGAACAATATGAGTTCCTGGTGGGAACCTTAGGATCGGTAGCTTGTTTTGTTTTTATGTTTCAACAATGCATCCAGCTACGCGCCTATTAAAATGGTAAGAGGAAACCACGGTGAAAACGAAAGGGAGCTGTCCAAGCCTCCGATCAATACAGAGGCAAACTGAATTTCTGGAACTTTCATGGAATTATACTTTTCATTTTAGTGGGGTCCAGTGCGCCACCGGTGTTTGCTAGAAGGATGAGGCATTTGACGTGGTTGGCTTCGCCAAGGTGGTGGTTGCGCTGGCTACCTCTACAGCGTGCATGATGCTGCAATTCAGGTGCGCCATCAAGACTCGACGCCGCATCCATGTTAGTCTCGGCGGGTTTAAGCGGAACCCCTGACGATGCACCCACGACCAGACATATCTCCAAATATTGTCTTGTTTGGCGTTCCAACCGACCACCCAACCGACGACTGGAGCCAGCCGGCCATTTGTCTTCAGTTCCAGCCAACCCAACGGCTTGAAGTCTGACCCCTTTTCAAACAAATGGACCTCAGGATCAGCAGCGTCGACAGCGGAGACGACGCCCGCGCCGATTTCAATGATGGCGATTTTGTGGCGGGGGTGGGGCAGCAGAAGGCTGTCGCCACGAGCGCAATTGACCCTGAAACCTTGCACTCGACAAGCAAAGTTCCCGAGAGCAACGGGCAAGCCCTGTTTTTTGTTCTACCTCGGAATGTTGTGCTCAGTTGTTCTGATCATTCCAGGAATACATGGCCTTGCCGTGTGGCGCACTTGAGACAAGGGAGGGTCGGGGTGTTTCACACAGGACCTCTGCCTGGCCTGAGAACTCTGGCCATGTTTCAGCCCCACCTTCCGTGGAGTGATCTTCCTGCATCGTTGCGTTCCAGTGAACTTGACCAGGGCTCATGCCTGCCAAACACTATTCGCAAGAAGTTCTAACCGACAGGTTCTACCCTTAAGTTGCATCACACAGGCCACATCGGCATGTAGTGTAGGCCGGTAGCACCCTAGAAAAAAGAACTCATGGAGTACCAGATCAAATTTACATCGTTCCTTGTCATCCAATGTTTGTTCCAGTCGGCAGGGTAAACTATCAAATGGACGCACGAGTGGTTCGCAGCCAATTCGAAAGGTGGGGTTCTCTGGCGGCTTCTGCTCGTTTGAATGCCAAGCAGTCCCCATCGGAGGAGTCGGAACCACTCAATTGCATGAACTCTGCCTGGAGCCAAGTACGGGAACCCCTTTCCCCAAAACTGGAGCTCGGTGTGCCTTCGGTTTGCCTTCAAACCACTAAGAAAAGTTACCAACTCCACATGACACACACACACACAAGTGTGGATTAATGGCATTCAAAATTAAAATGTTTTTGTCGTTGTACCTGTACCAGGATGAGCTTGTTCCACCCAGCAAGTTGTCGCAACTCGGACTGTCCAGCATTTTCGGAATGGCACAAGGACATTGAGTGAGGCGTGGCCCCCTTTTGGTGCTTTGATTTGAAACACCTGCCGGCGCTGAAGTTGTTGGAGTATGAAACAGGGCCCTCCAGATGTTCTAAGTTGAGTCCACTACCTTGAGAAGCGTTTTTACTTCCTGGCTTGACGGCGGGTTTATCATGCCGGTAGAGGAAGCATCAAGAGACGAAAATTTGGCCTCGCTACCTTGAATAGTAATATAGAATCTCGGTTTTGTTGTGCAATTTCGAAGGATGCACGGGGCAGGATTGTTCCATAAGCTGTGTGGAGGCGAAGTGGAGAGACAATAGGCCCGCACTTAGAGAGGTGTTCAGAACCCTTCGATGAGACCCCCTTCGCGCAGGTTCTGGGGGTGGCTTGGGGGGATCCCTTTTTCCGACTGCCGATGACTTTGCGCCCTTGGACAATTCCTCCGACCGACTTCCCGCGCAGAAAAAGATGGGGCGCTAGTGGCCTCCGGCGTTTTCCTCAGCCTCTAGTGAAATGGGTGGCCCAATGTGTTTCTTGGTTTGGGGGGGCCTCTTGGTGTGCGATGCCAGGCCACATGATTCATATACCTTACTTGGGGATTGACTGAATTCCAGGATGTGAATAGCAATGTGGCCAAATTTTATGTTCTTTTCTTTTTTGGTTCTGGTCATAGTGGAGCTGCACCATGGCAAGCAGATTGTTGAAGCTGGTGATTGCTTTGGATGCTTCTCCAAATTGGAGAACCCCTGTAGGTGGTTGGTTTTTGTTACTTTGCATATGAACGACTGCCTTTATGTACAGAAGACTCCAGCAAAGGCCGGGCGGACACATTTTGTGAGGTAACATGCGACAGTTACTTATGTGCAACACAAGGTAGGAACACCCCGCAACGAGGTAGGGCCGTGACATAGGTGCGTGAAAATGAGGTCAATGAGTCCAAAAGGGTGCAGGTTCGGAGAACTGGTGAAGTAGGTGGGATCATCCGACCGTTCAACCATGTAGCAAATGACTGCCATAGCTCACACCTTCCCCAGCAGCCATAATGTGGTTCTGCGCTTTTGAGACAGACCCATTTGCAATACATTTTTGGGCAATCGACATCCTGACCTCACCGACAAAATTACCAGGTGGTGCTTGGTGCTACAAGTGTGCAACCTGCGATTGGAGCTGCCAAAGTATTTCGCCGCTTGCATGTTTACCCCTGTGCGATTGGCATCCGCCCTGAAGCCCCGCTATCGCGGCAGACTTGCGAAGTGTTGACACCGGAATTGTCTCGAGCTGCAGGATGGCGCCTTAGCCAATGCGCTTTTGAATCGTGCCCCAGAGGCACAGTTGGATTGCTCCGAAAGAAAATCCAAAGAGTATGGGATAGGACTCATTTCTCCAGACCCTCTCTTTGGCACCCAAGTCTGTGTTGGTGAGATGTCGCCGTCCTGTTTGTTGTTTGTTTTCACTCAGACACACACATACTTCTTGTTGTTTACGCACTACGTACTGATGGAAACCAACTGCATTGGCATGAAGGCGTTGAATCCAAG